TAATGAGGCGGGGTTAAGACTTGTGGGAGGAGCTACAGTAATGAGGCGGGGTTAAGACTTGGGGAGGAGCTACAGTAATGAGGCGGGGTTAAGACTTGGGGAGGAGCTACAGTAATGAGGCGGGGTTGAGACTTGTGGGAGGAGCTACAGTAAAGAGGCGGGGTTAAGACTTGCGGAGGAGCTGCAGTAATAAAGCAGGGTTAAGACTTGTGGGAGGAGCTACAGTAATGAGGCGGGGTTGAGACTTGTGGGAGGTGCTACAGTAAAGAGGCGGGGTTAAGACTTGTGGGAGGAGCTACAGTAATGAGGCGGGGTTAAGATTTGTTTGCACTGAACCTCGTAACGTTTCTGGTCCTCTGCTGCTTTCTTTATCCAGGGAATCTTCTCTTTCTTCTCCATGGATTTCCAGGCCACCTCCATGGCCGCCTGTGCTTTCCTGCGGTCGCTCTGAGACACAGGTCACATGACCAGAACCAGGTTAGAATTTATAATAAAACTGAGCTGTGATGCAGCTAAAGGACTTTTATTGTGAAAGGAGCTCACTCTGTATTTAGCCAGATAGTCTCCAATCACACTGTGCTGCCACATCTCCTCGGCTGTTTTAGGAGTCTCTGGAAGCTTTGCCGTCTTCATACTGTCTCGTCTGTCCTTGGGCTGTCCAGCTGGTACCCATGCCTCTGGCTCCGCCTCCCGACAACGCTCCTGTGGTCACAGAGGGTTCGGAGAGAAACAGTTTCGGTAGTTAGGCTCGGTTCTGGAACCAAAGAGAAAAGAGAAGAGTACTGCTGGACCTTTGACGATGGAGACTTGGCTCTATGTGGGCTGGGGGCAATGCCCACATTTAATTTAGCTCCGCCCATTTTCTCCTCTGACAGAACTCTGTCTCTCTCCTCGTCAGGAAGACTCTGGAACACAAAGAGGTTTCAGACAAACAAAGAGTTTCCTGGTTGTTGACAGTGAAACTGAGCAGACCTCCAGGAAGCGCTGCAGGTCCACGTCGTACTGCTTCTTTTTCTATCAAGAGAAGGCGGAGTTAGAGAGCAGAGTCCACGGTGAGGCCGACCGGCGCCATGTTGGGACGGTACACACCTGCTCGCAGCGCTTCTGGAACATGTCCTTCTCCTTCTGCGTCAGCATCTTCCACTGTTTGCTGCAGAGCACCATGCGCTCTGTGCTCGGGACGTCCTTCATGTTGACCATCAGCTCCGCGCAGTACAGAGAGTATCCATTACTGCCAAGGACAGGAGGACCAGGGTCAGGACTCTGTGCTGGTCTACAGTCTGTGCAGGGCTACAGTCTGTGCAGGGCTACGGTCTGTGCAGGTCTACAGTCTGTGCAGGTCTACAGTCTGTGCAGGGCTACGGTCTGTGCAGGGCTACGGTCTGTGCAGGTCTGTGGTCTGTGCAGGTCTACAGTCTGTGCAGGTCTGTGGTCTGTGCAGGTCTACAGTCTGTGCAGGGCTACAGTCTGTGCAGGGCTACGGTCTGTGCAGGGCTATGGTCTGTGCAGGTCTATGGTCTGTCCTGGTCTACAGTCTGTCCTGGTCTACACTCTGTGCAGGGCTACGGTCTGTGCAGGGCTACAGTCTGTGCAGGTCTACAGTCTGTGCAGGGCTACGGTCTGTGCAGGGCTATGGTCTGTGCAGGTCTATGGTCTGTCCTGGTCTACAGTCTGTCCTGGTCTACACTCTGTGCAGGGCTATGGTCTGTGCAGGGCTACAGTCTGTGCAGGGCTATGGTCTGTGCAGGTCTACAGTCTGTGCAGGGCTATGGTCTGTGCAGGGCTACGGTCTGTGCAGGGCTACAGTCTGTGCAGGTCTACAGTCTGTGCAGGTCTATGGTCTGTGCAGGTCTACAGTCTGTGCAGGGCTACGGTCTGTGCAGGTCTATGGTCTGTCCTGGTCTACAGTCTGTGCAGGGCTACGGTCTGTGCAGGGCTACAGTCTGTGCAGGTCTACAGTCTGTGCAGGTCTATGGTCTGTGCAGGTCTACAGTCTGTGCAGGGCTACGGTCTGTGCAGGGCTATGGTCTGTGCAGGTCTACGGTCTGTGCAGGTCTATGGTCTGTCCTGGTCTACAGTCTGTGCAGGTCTATGGTCTGTCCTGGTCTACAGTCTGTGCAGGGCTAAGGTCTGTGCAGGTCTACGGTCTGTCCTGGTCTACAGTCTGTGCAGGTCTATGGTCTGTCCTGGTCTACAGTTTGTCCTGGTCTACAGTCTGTCCTGGTCTACAGTCTGTGCAGGTCTATGGTCTGTCTTGGTCTATGGTCTGTCCTGGTCTATGGTCTGTCCTGGTCTACAGTTTGTCCTGGTCTACGGTCTGTCCTGGTCTACGGTCTGTCCTGGTCTATGGTCTGTCCTGGTCTATAGTCTGTCCTGGTCTATGGTCTGTCCTGGTCTACGGTCACATTCTGCAGTTCTTGTCTACTCACGGTGGAGGTTTGGTGGGCCGTCCATCAAACTTGTCCTTCAGCTGTCTCTCGGCCTTTGTGAGGACTGAGCGGATATGATCGTCTGAGTTGACGTCTGGGTGGGCTTCGTGGTACGCTCTCATACTGTCCTACAACACAAGAGTCCAACCATCAGACCCTGAACAAACCTGCAGTCTGACACTGGACATGGGACTACAACCAGTCTGTGGTGGGCCCCTTTGAGGTACATCAGGGGACCAAGTCCTCTGAAGGCCTTTTTGCGTTGTAAGGTCTGTGCCCCGCCTGGCCTCCATGTGGGCGGGGTCATTGTATTAACCACGCCCAGATCTTATTGAGTTCACTTTCTAACACGGTATTGGACTACACCAAACTGGACAGACTGAGGACCGAACCGGACCAGAGGACAGGACGACAGAGGACGGTAAGCTAACGTTAGCTTGTTGTTGTGTAGTATCTAGTGGGCTGACCCTCCGGTCAATGAGCCAATCAGTGAGCAGCAGTAGCTGACATCAAACCGGGCCAAGCAGTCCGGTCCCGATAGAGCCATGGGTCCAAGATTCCAGAACTGGGGTGGACCTGGTCCTAAGGGCTAATGCACACAGGCTACGTGGTTTTAAATCCGGGTCAGGCTGACCTGGACCTTGCAGTACAAAAAGACCTTAGATGAGGGGACATGTCCTCTCTGGTACCTCATAGTCCTTCTGCAGTTCCAGGGCCTTGCTGATCCACTTCAGTCTCCTCTTGTCGGACAGCTGGGACCACTGTCTCCTCAGGGCCTCCTTCAGCTCCTTCTGACTCACCTGGGGACACAGCAGGCCTTTAAGAACCAGATGACTTCCAATGATGCGGTTGGTGATACGGATCAGGGAAGACCCGGGTCAGGATCTGGGTACCTCTGGGTGCAGCTTCATGTAGGTCTTCTTCTCGTGGTTGTACCACAGCTGTTGGGGGGTTCTGGGTTTTTCTGGCAGGTCCGACTTCTTTCTCTCCTCGATCAGCTCCGGGTGCTCCTCCCTGCAGGTCAGCTGAGATTAGCCTAGCCACATGCTAACATGTAGACCCACGGACCAGTACCGGGTCAGAACCAGGGTACTCACTTGAAGCGAGCCATGTTCTTCTCGAACTCCTCCTTCTCCCGCTGGAACTCACTGATGTACTTTTGCTGCAGGACAAAAACAAATAGTTCTGTTGACAACATGCCAGATCTGCTCAGGAGGTCCAGGTTCTGGTTCCGGTCCAAACCTTCTTCTTGTCTGGCAGCTCCTTGTACTTCTTGGACAGGATCTTGGTCAGGTCCAGGTTGCTCATCTCCGGGTGGATTTTGGCATATTTGGCTCGTTTCTCCATGAAGAAGCGAAAGTACGGAGTCAGCGGTTTCTTGGGGAAGTCTGGGTGGGTCTGCAAAGGACAGAGGTCAGTTCAGGGGGGCGCCGGTCCAGTTCTGGTGCACCAGATCCAGAACCAGAGTCTCTGAGCGTCTCACCTTCAGTTTCTTGCCTTTGTAGGGGTTCTTCACAAACTCGATGGCGTCTACGATGAGTTCCGTCATGGTTCTGTACTTCCGGACCTGGACAACAAAACCAGAACTTTAAAAACTGAATCTGTGAGTGAACCCGTGCAGGCAGGACCAGACCGGTCCAGACCGGTCCAGACTGGATCACGGCACTGCAGCTGTACCTCCGAGGAAACTTTCTGCCATTTCTGGCGGCACATGTCCCCGCTGAATCCTCCGAAACCAACTTTGTCCCAGTCGAAGTGAGACTCTGTGGTTTTATACTTCATGGTGTCCCCGTCAGGCAGCAGAGTCCTGATCCGGTCCAACAGGGTCAGACAGTCCTCCTTACTCCACTCGTCTGCAGACAGGTGAGACACAGGTGAGACACACAGGTGAGAGAGACAGGTGAGACACAGGTGAGAGAGACAGGTGAGACACAGGTGAGAGACAAGTGACACAGGTGAGAGAGACAGGTGAGACACAGGTGAGAGACATGTGAGAGACAAGTGACACAGGTGAGAGAGACAGGTGAGACACAGGTGAGAGACATGTGAGAGACAAGTGACACAGGTGAGAGAGACA